AGGGTATCACTGCAGAGAAGATGGGAACAGTGGATGCCTTGCTATATGTCTTCTAGAAGGAGGAACATTTTTTGCCTGCCTCTCCAAGCAGTTGCAGAGATGCAGACCGTGAGTGGAGGAGGGCTCTTCCCTGCATTGGCACAGTGTCACAACCCCCTCCTAAACTCTCACCTGGCACTGTGGCTGCCAGGTTTCTTTTCTTCTGTGCCCAGCACTCCCTGTGGTCCATGGGAAGGATGAAACCAGCTTCATTAGAGTGGGTGAAGTTTTTGGTGTTGCAGTGACAACACCCAGTCAAAAAGCCCGAGAGGAAATGAAAAATTCTGTAGTCACTGCAGGACTTGTGTGATGGGCAGCAAAGAGAGCGCTGGCAGCTGCTCATTGAGTAGTCAAGTTAATAGAAATGGATGTACTGCAGCTCAGTAAACTGAACCCTGACTGATCTGTGCAGCGAGTGAGGCACGAAGCTCCAGTAACAAGCAATGTATTACAAAGAAAGTATATTAAAAGCTAAGAATTCACAGGCAGCTTTTTTGATTCTATCTTCTCCTAACATTTAGCAGGTATCTTGAAACCTTTCCATTGTGTGTTTAATACAAAGCCACATTAACTTGGGATAATTCGTTGGCCTGCTGGAGCATCTGCTGTTACGTGGGAAGCTGCCCACACAATCTTCTGTTGAAAACTGAAATAAGTGGAGAGATCAGTAACATCCCCATCTCTCTTAAAGCCACTCAAAAAGACTTCATGTCTATACCTTTGCTATTGTATGCCCTTTTTAGATTTTAAGATACCAAAGAGAGGCCACAGTTTTTCCCATTACAAAATACAGCTTTACTAGGCAAACCAATGGTACTTAGATCAGATCATGCATTTCCTATCTGTAAAACAATAATTAAATAGTTCTGTCCATTGGAGGAAACCTTTTCTTTACTCATTTATTAGCTAATATAAATACAAATTCAGGTTAACCTGAAATAAGAGGCTTTAAGAGCTTTTCTATTCCAAATACTGATGCTCACTAGGATAAGGAAAGAGTTTTTCTGTGTGGCTCTCTCTTAGTCTGCCTTGAACATATATAAATGTTTGGCAATAATACAGTCTCTTGTTGTCCTGGCTGTACTTCTGTTTCTCTTTTCAACTTCCAATGCATGCAGTGACCTCTGGGCACTTTCAAAGTTGTAGGTTCCTGTCTTTCAATATGAATTACCATTTCATCCTCCACATGAATGGACCAACTAAACTGAAGTCATCCTTTCACAGAAACCACTGCTGAGTGTCGCGTGCGGGTGACTGACGGCTTTAGCAGATGTTAAATGGGGTAAATATAAGGAAGGCAGGTGAAAGCCCTAAAGGCAGTGATCTGCTGCTGAGGTCTGCCAGCACATTTTTATCTCCCTAGGAACTGAACCACCTAACCTCACTTTGCTCATTCATCCACAAGCTGGAGACTGCTGATAGTGATACATAGCAGGGCTATAACAATTCATGTTTAAGGATGTAAGGGGCAAGATTTTTTTAGGAGAGAGATTTCCAGCAGCATGCTAGGCTCAGTTATACGAGGGCAAAGTTCCAGTCCAGTCTCATTTGGTGCAGGACTCAAGCTAAAAATGTTAGAGTTGCTAGTCTGAGACGCTCTCCAGGGCAGCCTGTGGGCTGGTCTAATTTTTGTCATCTGGCTACAACCTCAGGAGAGCTGTTTTTCTATGAATCACTGAAATGCCTGGTGATCCAAGTTCAGTGTTAATCGTGGTACTTACGTTGCACTGATTAAACACATTCTCACCCCTCTCCTTTTAAGAAACACCATATTCCATAAAATGCCCAATTCTGCATTTTCCAAGACAATAATAAATCCAAACGTTGTTGTAATCCGCTTTGTGCTTTACTAAATTCAATGACATATTTTTCATTCATGTATGTGTCCTAACAATTTGAGTGGCATCAATTTAAGTGGATGTTAAGCCTTTCTATGTACATCAGAGCAATATGTAATTTTCATTTCCATTTTACCCAGTGGCTTCTAAGTCTGGAGGTGATAATCATTATTCGAGTTGTAATTATGCCTCAGTTGAACAAGAGGCTTTGCAATGATAAAAAAAATGAAGGACACTTTGTGGCAAGATCTGGTGGGTTCTTCTGCTGGTAAAGCTCCACGTGATTTCAGAAGGGCCTGGGATTTGAAAACTGAAATGCAGGCTGGATTTCCTCAGTAAGCCTTGTGTTTTCTTTTCCCCAGGGGATGAGCGCTCCCGGGAGTCTCCTGCCCCAGCCGAAGCACAGATGCAAGCCGGGGCGGAAGGCGGTGGAAGGGTGAACCGCTGTTGCTGGAAATGCTCCGTGACGCAACTCAAGAAGATTTTCTGGGGTGTGGCCGTGGTCCTGGGTGTCTGCTCTTCTTGGTCAGGTTCAACCCAGCTGGCAAAACTGACCTTTAAGAAATTTGATGCACCCTTCACTCTAACATGGTTTGCAACAAACTGGAACTTTTTATTCTTTCCTTTGTATTATCTTGGACATGTTTTTAAGTCAGCTGAAAAGCAGTCTCCAAAGCAAAGATACAGGTATGGGAGCTTTTTTTTTTTTACACTTGTGGCTCTTGCATGCTGCTCTATATCTAGTGGACATTTGTTCAAATTGGTCAATTAAATCAACCTTGTGTTTGTTTTCTTCTCTAGGTTTGTTAAAGAAAGTTCTGAATTCATTGTGTGCTCCGTCCTAGGTGCTATGTTATTAGTCTTAATACAATTTCACTCGAACAGTAAGAAATCCAGGTTTATTTCCAATACATACCAGTCATATGGTCCAAGTCTGCATTTTCTGTAATTACTTCTCAAGAGTTTTCTGTTCAAACCTCTGTGAACATAATCTTTTTATTAATATCTTCTTCTTCTACCCACAGCTGACTTTTATGGCAGTCTCTGAGTAAGCTAAGTAAGCTTTTCTTTTCCAGACTCAGGACTAGTGCAGTGCCTTGAATAGCCAAGTAAAAAGTATTGCGGTATTTTCCTGGCATTATGCCCGTGACATCGGAGGCCAAGCTCTGATCCCAGTTAAACTCGAGCTGTTGTGTTTATTTCCGGGAGGAAGCGCAGTCATAACCAAAGGCAGCACTTTGTCTTCAGCACACCTTGTCTTTAGAGCAAGCCAAACCCACAAAGCCCGAAGCACTCGTGGGAAGCCTTGAGTGCCCACCCTCCACGAGGGGCTGAGGATGCTCTGGCTGCTTGAAGGACAGCCTCATGGTGGGTGCTGCCCCAGCTCGTCTCGTTTTGGCCCGAGAGGTGTCTGGGACAGATGGGATGACTCAGCCATCAAGATGTCCCGTGTCAGAGAGCTTCCCCGGTACATGGAAGGATGTGAACATCGTTTTCCCCTTCTGTTACACAGTGGGGCTCACAGCCTTTTAATGAAGTAGCTCAGAAAGTAAACAGTAAGAAGTACACATTTCTCAGCTCCCAGCTGTGCAGCAGCGAGGTGGAAACTTACCACAGGAAAAATCTAAGCAAGCAGGGTACTCAGGAGATGCTCTACCTCAGGTGACTGGGGTTAAGGCTGTAAAAACTGAAAATTTGCTGCTTAGCCATTGTAACACTTTCTTCATCTTCTGTATCATTCAGGGGCTGTAAATAAAGGAATTTCACTGTTCACTGAAGGTCCTAGAGCAGTATCCAGAAGATTTAAAAGCATTTTCATAAGGTGCCATATTTCCTGCACTTAAGGTTATATTTGTTGTTTACTCCACAGCAAACATGGTTGTTTCAGAGATGAGAGGAGTACCAAGGTTAAAAAAAGCAACAGTTTCATCTAGAAACAATAACAAATGCTAGCCCAAAACCAACTACATTTTTGTTTCTTTGTTGTTATTTTTGCTTCCAGCTGCTCTCAGATAATTGTTTAAATACTGCTGAATTCTGGGGTGAGTAGTTGTGGTTCACCAGATCCCTGGGGTTAAAACCAGAGCATTATGCCCTTTGTTGCTGCAGTTAATTGATGTAGTTGGTAGTTTTGTGACTTCCATTAAATGAAATGATGGCTGAGTTGAAGAGCAGATACATGCCCTGCAGCCTGTTTGGGATGCAGGGGGACATCATTACAAGTAAGCTCGCAGCAGGCTTGTAAAGAACATGCATTTGTGTGACCAGCAGATTGAATAGAGTTAATCTACAGAATATTTTCTTGGTGTCAGGATAGACTTGTGTATTTGGAGATATGGCTTTGATGCCTAGCTTTACTGCAGATTTATTTTGTGGTTTTAAGCAAGTCACCGCAGACTCCGGATTTCCTTGCACACTCTGTTCAGTTGGATGAGACACTCCTTTAGGGAGCAGGGAGACTGTCCCCTACCAAGTGTTTACGTAGTGTCTGCCTAGCATGTCCACAGTCTAAACTGAGACCTTTCAGTGGTGCTGCACTAAGAATTTCTGTGAAAAGAAATACTGTTCATCTGCTTGCTCCATTACAGCTGAGATGTCACATGCATATACATCAGAAAACCCAAGCATTGCATTCCAGCATCCTCTCTTAATTATTCTCACTTTTTTAATATTATATATTATGCATATAAAGAGAAAAAGACATATACAGTCTTTGCAGTTCTATGTGAGATATGATAAGCTCCTGGAAAGCTTGCACTCCAGGCATAGTTGGAGGCATTTCATGGATTTCTGTTTGGTTAAAATAAGACAATTCTGACCTAGAACTAACAAGAACTTGCATCATCAACTTTCGACTTCTTTTATCTTTCTTCTACACCTATATTTTATAAATTATCTGAGCTCTCTGGTAGGAATTTGCAACAAGACAAATGAAAAGGTGGTAGCGGGAGAAAGTGAAAATAAAACATCTAAGTCACCTTAGCAGCAAGGTAGTAAAGGAAGGGATTCTCAAATCTTGCCTACACAGGTTGTTAAAATCCACAGGCACCTAATGTTTTCTGGCAGTTCAGCCTCGCCTCACCATGGCACAGGCAGTGCCTTCACACCACCTCCTCCCCAGTGGGTGGCTTTGCAGGGCCTGAGCCAGCAGACATACTATGGGGTACCTTGTTATACAGCCAAAGAGCATGTAAAGAACAGAAGCCGTTAGGAAAATTATACAAAAGGGGAATCATAAAATGCATGAAAAAGAACAGATGTATAGTCCCTTCTATACAGATTATATGGTTTGTTATTGTTTTAAATTCCCATTGTATTGTACCTATATATATACACTGTACTCTAAATATATGAATCTGTATGTTGTGTCGTCTCACAGGACAATGTACCTGTCATGGATGCAAACCAGTTTAAAGCTGAACAGATATTTTTTCCCATTTTATAGCACCTATAATTTTAATAAGTTTGCCATCAAAATTTTATCGTAGCACATTAAATTTAAGAGCAAGTTTATTCAGTTTCTTTATAGGATTTTGAGTATTAGCCCATAATGTAAAGTATTAAGGATTTCTAACTGACCCATATTGCATGGTAGGAACTTTTTATTTATGCTATCAGATGGGGGAGAGAGTCACTCTGCAAAGCAAACCAAAAGTCATGCATTGATGGCCAAACAGCTCCAGGCTCCCTGTGCAGCTCCATCAAGGGCCAGAGTTGTGCCCGGGTATAGACTGCTCAGGGAGAACTTGTCCCATGTTTGCCACCAAGGGTGCTACACACCCTTGCATGTGTGGGCAACGATGCTGAGCCACAGAAGAGCAAGCACGCCAGGGTCAGTGCTGCTCTTTTACTTCTTTTGCAAGTGCTCACTAGCTGAAAATAAAATTACAGTAACTAAGTTATCATTCATTTCAACCATTGGCCATTCCAGAAATAACACATGTAATGATCTATGTGCCTAATGGATCATTTAAGAGTAATTCATTTTGGCTTCATACTTTTTGCTTCCAAACTGCTTGATAAAATGACACATTTAATCTGATGAGCTACCCTCCGTCATACTTACATTATTAATTTATGAGGTAACATAAATTAAAAGCACTAGTGCTTAAAGCTCCCTGGCTACATGAAAGATTAAATTAAAGCCTCTGTAAGATATTGCTTAGCTTTGTGTATCTCTAGGCAGGACAAAACACACCTTTTGTAAAGCTTCACTCTGTGTGTGCCAACTAGGGGAATAATGGAGAGTTGTGGTCACATTTGGGGGGAATACCTCAGAAAGCTTGTTTATTTTGATGGTACAGTCTTAAAAATATTTTTAGAAGGAAAGGGCAGGGTTAGGGTTAGGGTTAGGATTTTCCAGAAGGGTTTGCTTGATTATTTATTTGTTTGTTTATCATTTAGATCTCGATTCTCACTTCATAAAGCATTAAGGGTAAAGAAAATGCCAGAAGCTAAATGTAAATCTCTTCTACAACCTTGAATGCACCTGATGCATTGAGTGAATGAAAGGATCATCACACATACCTGCACTGATCTGCAACTACGTTTGAATGTATTTTAACCTGTTCTTTTTCACTGAATCAGTTTTGTCTCTCTACTGCCCTGAAATTACCTGCCACTAATCACTCAATATTTAAATATTTTTCTTTGAAAAGAAACAAAAAAGTTGTAGGTAACACCAAAATATAGTTATTTCTTCGAAACTTATTCAAAATATTGGGGGCAACAGTGGTAGAGGACTGATATAACAGATTACCAACACAGTAACTTCACAAGAGTCACTTGTACTTCATATGCATGTGGGCTTAGTATCAAGACTTAGCACTTCAATGTCCAGAAATTTTCAGTGTCATAGCTTCACACGGTATCCTGGATGACATGGGCCAGTTTCTAAATGTGTTTCACATGTATTTCTGCTGGTATAAGGGAGACGAGGCACTAGCCCCTCATCCCCAGTAATTCTGAGAGTCGGGTCCATTAGTTGGATCTGGACCCATACAAAGGTGCAACTCACTGCACCGTGGGCACTGCCCTCCTCTTCTGCAACAGGCGGGGAATTCGGCTGTGCAGCGCTGGTGACCAACTGCCTGGCCACGAGGAAGCTCTGAGGGGGAAGAAGGTCAGGGCCTGATTTGGTGTGTCTGGATGCTTTCTTACTATTGATTTTTCAACATTTTGTATTCGTGAATCTCTCCTACGTGGCAGCATTAAAATGTTGCAGCGTGGTTCACTTTTGGCATCCTACTGATTTATACTACTACTTAGGTAGGAGCTTCACCACCAGAGCAGGCAGCATTAACAGAGTCATAAATATGCTACGGATGTATCAAGACATGGTGAATGCAAGTGTTTTTAGCAAATGTCACCCAATGAAGCATGTTTTCTTTCAAAAAACTTCAGTTTGTAAACTCTATTTGTCTAATTCAGTACATTAGCCTTAAAATAATACCTATTTATTTTGTGTTCCTCAAAATAAATTCACTTTACAAGTTTCCATTAGCTTGTTGGGAAAAAGAAAAACAAAGAACAACCAAAAAAATCCCAACTCAACAACAACCAAAGAACAAAAGGAACTCTTGAAATTAAAAGATATAGCATTTGATTCTCACCTTAGTTAGACAGATACAATCCAGGAGTAACTCCAAATTAAATCGGTTTGATCTCTATAACAGTTTGTCAGGACT